ATTTTTTTAAAAAAGCCTGGTTTTTCAGAAGTAGGCCCTCAGGCCTCTTTTCGGGGACACCTCTGGGTGACTCAAACCCCATCGTTACAGTTAGCAGCTGAGCGGGTGAGCTGTACCATCATGGGCTCCCAAGTCAAGACATGTCCTAAACAAAAAAGAAATGGGGACGCAGGAAGTCCTATTCATTATAAATGCTAAAATGATGCTTACAGGTGGTGGCTTTTGAATCTCTGGACAATCTGAATTCCTTTTGGACCAGTCTAAGACCACTCCTTGGAAGGAAGGTTGGGCAATCTACTTCCATAGTGATACCGCCTCGGAAACCCAAGGAGGGGTTGCTATGAGTTGGGGCCTACTCGATGGCACATAACAACAAGAAGACCACTTAAAATATCTCCTTTGAACAAGTGTGAGCTCATAAAAAAACAATTCGCATTAGTGTTACAAAGTCATTGACAAAAGTACTACTGATTCTCACAGACTCAAGAACTAGTACAACTGTCTAAGCGACCCACAAAACGTGACCAAAAGTAAGAATGACCCAAGGTCTTTTCAGCTGAATAACTGAAGTCACTGGGGATGGTTTATTACTCAAAGAACAATATTGTGACCGAGACAGCATCTTGTCCCCTCCACGGTCAGAGGAACAGAAGTCAGACCTACCCGGGAGTTCACCCTCACTTTTAGGTGCTGGGTATTTGAAAAGGTCGATGGCCTCTATCAACATGAGCCTCGAAGAAATGTCGTCTGCATTCTTATGGATCTGGTGGACAAGGGACTCGAATTTCCCAATGGCCTGTTTGCACCGAGTTATATAGTCAGCGATACCTTTGGAGAAAAAGAAAACACAAAGATACAAGTTTTCAAATCAGTCCACATCCCTCTGTTGTGGATTGAACTGTGCCCCCAAAAAACATGCTGTAAATCCTAACCCTGACGCCTGCGGTGCCCATCACATCTGGGAGTGGGCTCTCTTTGGTGCGTTAATGAGGCAGGATGGGTTTAGGGTGTGTCTTAAGTCAATCTCTTTTGAGGAGACACAAGTGGAGGGGAAGATGTACATGAAAATCTCCAAGGAAATGAGGACCAGAGGCTGGAAAGAGACAGAGGGCCTTCCCCAGAGCCGGCCGGCGAGACAGAAAGCTTTCCCCTAGAGCTGCCACCTTGAATTCCGACCTCTAGTCTCCTAACTGTGAGCGAATAAATCTGCCTGTGGTATTTCTCACTTGGGCATTTCTGTTACAGCAGTACTGCGACGATAAGGCAGCCTCCCACTGACACCTGTAAGGTCAATCAATACTCATTCAAGCTCCTTGGGACTCTAAGTGGCAAAGATCAACTTAGCAACCCTGGGGGATGGGACTAGGAGACCTGCACCCAGAGTCACCCACACCTTCATTGTGACCACTAAAGCTCAGAACAGACGCTTCTGAGGCACATGGGGAGGAAGACGAGGGGAAGCCGGACAGCCCTCTCCCTGCCATGGCTCCCCGAGCCTTGCCCTTGTACAAAAAAGACAAGCTGCCGAGTGGGAGGAAAAGCGTGCAAACCACATACCCAACAAAGAACAAGCAGCTACGATATATAAAGAGCATTCAAAACTCAACAGTAAAAAATCAAACCAGCCAATCAGAAAATGGGCAAAAGACACTTCACCAAAAGAGGACAGAGATGGCAAATAAGCAACGAAATGACACACAGCATTAGGAGCCATCAGCAAAAGGCAGTGAAACCACAAGGAGACGCTGTTGAGTGATTCCAACCCACAGTGAGCCTTCTCTCCCGTGGAGCTGCTTCTTGTTGCTGTTGTTGCTGTGTGCCCTCGAGTCGGACCCAACTCATAGCGACCCCTCCTTGGGTTTCCAAGGCAGTATCACTACGGAAGTAGATTGCCCCATCTTCCTTCCGAGGAGTGGCTGGTGGGTTTGAACCGCCAGTCTTCTGGTTAGCAGTCAAGTGCCTTAGGCACTATGCTACCAGAGCTCCCTGTGGAGCTGCTAGGTAGGTTCAAATGACCAACCTTTTGGTTAGCAGCTGAGCACTTAAGCACTGCACCACCAGGCCACCTTTGAATGATCCACTGCTGGTGAGCAGTCAAATGCTGGCGGGGTTGTAGACAGCATTGCTCCTGGGAACGTAAAACGGTACAACCACTCTGGAAAACAGTTTGGCAGTTCCTTTACAAAATACACTTGCAACTACATACAACCAATAACTGCACTCCTGGCCATTCTGGGCATTAAGCCTAGAGAAATGAAGACAGGTTCACACAAAAACCTGAACGTGAACGTTTATGGATGTTTTATTTGTAATAACCCAAACAAGGAACCACGCAGATGTCCTTCAAGAGCCTTATGGCTAAGGACACCAAGGTGGCCGTGCCACGGAGCACCGTCAGCCACAGAAAATGAAATAACTGTCGATACCCCCAAGCCCGGAGGATCTCCACACGTCTATGCTGCGAAAAAAAAAAACCTAGTCCAAAGAGGTCACAGATTCTGTGATCCCACTGACACAAAACTCTCAAAATGACCATAATTATAGAAATGGGGAAAAGATTAGTCATTGCCAGGGACTAAGGCACTAAGGAAGGGGCCCTGGTGGTACGGTGGGTAAGAGCTTGGCTGCTAACCAAAAGGTCAGTACTTTGAACCCACCAGTCACTCTGTGGGAGATATAGCAGTCTGCTTCTAAAAAGATTAAAGTCTCGGAAACCCTACGGGGTAATGTGTACTCGGTCCTATAGGGTCACCATGAGTCGGAATCAATTTGATGGCAGTGGGTCTGGGTTGGATTTTTTTTTTTTTTTTACTACATGCCAGGAGAGCACTGGTGGCACAGTGGTTAAAACATCCAGTTGTTAACCAGAAGGTCTGTGGTTCAAACCCCCTAGCCAGTCCATGGGAGAAAGATGTGGCAGGCTGTTTCTATAAAGATCACAGCCTTGAGTAGGAAACCCTCAATGAAGTGGGAGAGAAATGTGCAACAAAACTTAAAATCATAAAAAAGACCAGGTTTCCCGGTCTGATAGAGATAGTGGAGCCCCTGAGACTATGGTCCTTGCACACCCTTCAAGCCTGGAACTGAACTCACCCCGAGGCTCAACTTTCAGCCAAATGAGAGGCCTTAACACCAGGTAGGGACACACTCAGCAGAGTCATCAACATACGTGATCAAAAGGGCAGCATTTGCCCAAGGGTGAAGATCAGAAGGCAGGCAACGCAACGCAAATGCACCGCCATCGAGTCAGATCTGACTCACAGCGACCCCTCCTTGGGTTTCCGAGGCAGTATCACTACAGAAGTAGATTGACTAACCTTTCTTCTGAGGAGTGGCTGATGGGTTTGAACCGCCAGCCTTCTGGTTAGCAGTCAAGTGCCTTAGGCACTGTGCCCCCAGAGCTCCTTAGAAGGCAGGAAGGGATAAGAAATAAGGACAAAGGGAAACGATGAACACACAGGGAGCAAGTGGGGAGAGTGCTGTTACACTATGGGCACTGCAATCAATGTCCTAAAACAACATGTATATGAACACGGAAAACCAGTTAACTCTGTAAACTTTCGCCCAAATCATAATAGTAAGTAAATCAGTCACAAAATGGGGGGGAAAAAAAGATGACAGCCTTGGGAATCTGACGGTGCAGCTGTACTTTGTCCAGTAAGGTAGCTGTGAGTCAGGATGGACTTAATGGCAACGGATCTGGTTTTGGTTGGGTTGGGAGGGTAAGGATGGATGGCTGTAAGAGGGCAACATGAGAAAGCTCTGGGTCAATGAAGTGTCCACATGTCATCACGCTTTATCTTCACCCTGCAATGGGAGCTCTGGTGGCATAGTGCCTAAGGCATTTGACTGCTAACCAGAAGGCTGGCGGTTCAAACCCACCAGCTGCTCCTGGGAAGGAAGACTGGACAATCTACTTCCGTAGAGATACTGCCTCGGAAACCCAAGGAGGGGTCGAGTCGGGACCGACTCAGCGGCAATGAGTTTGGTTTAAGTTTTGGTCATGGAATAACAAAAGAAAATATATGTTGCAAATCCTAACCCCTGCACCTGTGCATGTGACCTCATCTGGGCACAGGGTTCTCTGTGTGACGCTGACAGTCTCTACCAGTGCAGAGTGTGTATTAAACCAACCATGTCTGAGGCAAAGGAGCAGGTTAGGCACAGAAGCCAGGAAGCCCAGGTCGGGGAAGGCAGGTGCCACACCACAGGGTGAGCCCCAAGGAACCAGGAACAGAAGCTGCAGACACACAGGGCCCCCTCCCCAGGCCGAGAGAGAGCGCCTTCACCTGGACGGGGTGCCTGCACTTGGACGTCCAGTCTCCTTAGGGGGAGACCAGTCTGTCTGTTAAAGCGCCCACTGTGGTCCCTCTGTCACAGAACTACCAGCAAACTAAGACAACCTCCAGCGAAAGCCTGCAATTTAATTCTAAGTTCCACAAAGTGTACTTTACTGGACCCTCCAAAACTATCTGTGAACACACCTACACAAGCACAAACTCTGAAAGGAATCGGTTACCTAGTGAGTTCCAGTTCAACCGCTTATAGCCGGATCTAAACACTCTCAGCAGCTCCTGGGAGTGATCGTCCAGAAGGAGAGACTCCGCCTCGTTCAACGTTCCCAGGAGCGTGTGATGATGGTCTAGCATACGCTGTATCCCGTCCGTGTACCTGTGTGTCACACAGCCACTGGTGTCAGGAGAGGAGCCTGTGTAACCTGACACACACCACTGCCCCTCAAAGCCGTGCCTCAGAGCGCTGCAGAAACTTGAAACAATGCTGCCCTTCTCACCGGCTTTTCTCTTTTAGGAAAACACACATATTTTCATGAAAGAAAAATGTTTTTATATTAACACGGAAGAGGTTTATTATTGTTTTTTAAATTCATGATTACAAAGTACATTTTTATTACAATACATAATTTTAAGTTAATAAAAATTAATTTTAAACAAATCTCCGTTTTGATTTCACCATGGTAATTATCAATAGCTATGATCAAAAGCTTTTAAGGGAGTCTTCAATACTCTTTAAGAGCGAACGGGATCCAGAACTGAGAAGGTTACTGAGGGCTTCCAAGAAGAGTATCGTTACCTGAGGAATTTGTCCTCCTGAAGCGCGACATTTCTCGCTAACTCGGGGACCGTGAACCCCAGCTGTTCCAAGTACTTTGTTTCGTTGATAATCTCTCTGAGAGCAGGTGAAAAATTTATGACAAACACAGGCGCCCGTTCAGAGGTGGCTGCCTCATCAGCTACGGTGAAGGACTGTGGAAGAGAGCACAGGGTATGCAGGCAGCTCGCAAAGCGGTCACGTCAATAAAGCAAAACCACGTCAACTCCGACCAGTGGCGCCCCACCTGTGCCAGAGAAGAGCTGGCCTTCACAGGACTCTCCGTGGCTGATGATGTGGCAGTAGGTCGCCAGGCCTGCCTTACGAGCCAAGTCAAAAGTGGATGTGAAAAGGATGAACGGGGCCCTGGATACCCTAACAGACTAAGGAACTGACAACCTGCAGGATGGAACAGCTAGAATACCTGTTTTGTTGGGCAAACCGAGTTTTTAAGGAATTTAATTTAGCCACTAACATGTGAAAATCGGGCATTGCACATAAAAATCCAGAATTCAGAAAGTTGGGAACTCATCAAAGCAGCAAGGGTGGGCTGGAGGTGGCGGCTCTCGTCCCTTCTGCTGGAATAAGGGCAGTTCCCTGTAGGTCTCACCTGGCCCGTTTCACTCATTTTGGCACCAACCTCAGAGTTTCAGAAACCAGAGAATGCCAAGCCCAGGTCTTTCCTCCTTACGATCATAGTATTTGTAGTTATTAGAAATTGTTGTAACTATTTATTTCTTGTACCAGACACTTACGTACCAGGCCCAGTGCTGAGTGTAAGGACCGTTTTGTCATGTGAAATCACACTTTTCAGTAGTTCAAAAACGGTCATGTGTCGGCTATCTCATTGGGTTCGACTAACACTTTACATATTCTTGTCATCTGATCCAACTCGTGTTCATGAATGGGTAAACTGAGGCTCGGAGTTCAGCCCCTCGCTCAGGAGTGAGAGGTCTCCCGGGTTCCAGTCCGTGTTCCTAATCATGATACCATCCTGTTTCCACTCTTATTCCTTCTTTCCTCTGTTCTTCCTCCAAGTCAACCACACCACTCTCTTGGCTTTGATTTTGGAAAAACCTACCAACCTTATGAATGAGGGTGAACAAAACCAAACCCCAGGAAAACAACAGATGCCATCATCTGCCACAGCCACCATGATCTGAGACCTGGGGGGCAGACAGTGGGGGGGGCAGTGGTAGAATTCCTGCCTTCCACGCAGGAGACCCAGGTTCTGTTCCCGGTCAAAGCACCTCATGCACAGCCCCAGCCCATCTGTCAGTGGGGGGCTTGCGTGTTGCCATGACCCTGAATGGGTCTCAGCAGGGCTTCCAGACTAAGACAGAGTAGGAAGAAAGCCCAACAATCTACTTTCAAAAACCAGCCAACAAAACCCTATGGACTTCAGTGGTGTGACGCATCACCAATCAAGAGAATGGTGGGGACTGGCCAGCGTTTCATCCCACTGTGCGTGGGGTCACCAGGGGTCGGGGTGGACTTGATGGCAGCTGACAACCACAACAAAGCGTCTACACGTGCGTACCTTCGTGAGCAGACTCTTCTTCATAAGGACTGGGAGGATCTGTTCTGTCGACTCCTTCCACTGCTCGTATTTTCGGTCTTCATAATCCTTCATTCTCCTACCCACTTCCAAATATTTTTGTTTTACCTATCACAAGAGTTCAGCAGTGGTCATTCTGTCCTGAGAAATAACACTTTCTTATCTCTATTTAAATATATATATAGATATATACTCACTTCTCAGAAAGAATAAGAATGGACCATCTACTTCCATAGTGTTACCACTTCCAAAACCCAAAGACGGGTTGCTATGAGTTGGATCTGACTTGACGGCAGTGAGTTTGATTTTTTGGGTTATATGTCAACACATTTTGGAAAAGGAAGTAGACAGATTTTTATAAGTTTTGGAGAATTTATTTGAGATGGGTGACTTAAAACCCAGGCCATATGCCAGAGATGAGCAAACTACAGCCCACAGGCCAGATTTTGTCCAGTCCATGTACTGGGAAGGGTTTTTATATTTTTAAATGCAAGGGGAAAAAAAAGAAAGAAAGAAAGAACAATAATGACTAATGACACATGAGAAACTATGGGACATTCAAATTTCAGCACCTATAAAGTTTTATTGGAACATGGCTGCACCCATTCATTTATATACCATCTCTGGCTGCTTTCTTGCTATAACAGCTAAGTTTTTAAAGACATGAATAAATATTTTAAACACTTCTTAGTTTTAGTTTCCAATATGGTAAATATCAATAGTTAGAAAAACCCACCAAACAAAAAAAGAAAGAAAGAAAAGGTTTTTGGAGGTCCTCGATGTTATGAACTACAAAGCTTAACATCTAAAGTGTCTACAGTCTAGACCTTTACAGAGAGGGTCTGCCAAGCCCTGCTAGATAGCATATGGAATCCACAGGTTGGGAAAAGAGGAGGTATGATAAGAAGATGCCAGTCATCATCCAGGGAGCTAAAGGTGAAATACAGGGAGAAGTCTATGTGTCATGTGTATTGAGATGCTGTGTACATTAAGATGGCATAGCATTGTATGTATCATATGCACTCGTATGATGTATTAACATGTCATGTACATGGAACCAGTGATGCTGGATGAACCTCTGAAACGATGCCCTGAGATAACCTTTAAACCAAAAATATCCAGAGGGTGTCTATAAACCAACCGATAGGTTAACTTAGTTAGTAAAGAATGTTTGTCTTGAACATCAAGTTCTTTTAAGATCTATATGAGGCCCAACCGACAGAAGCAACTCAAAAATCAAAAAAGAAGCATAAGGGCAGTGTGTTCCTGTTAACGGGGAGGGACAACTCGGAAAGGGGAATGACAAGGACGCACAACTTGAAGAATGCCATCAACGTCACTGAATTGAACATGGTGAAATTGTTGAACTGGTCTATGTTTTGCTGCATACACTTTCAACAGCAATTTTTAAAAAAGAAAAAGATGCCATATATAGTAAGATGCTGATCACAAAGAACACAAAAGGTAGCTTTAAAAGTGAGCCCAAAATCAGGGACCATAGGAAAGACCCTCTAAATCACAAGCCTGGATGCGAACCCAAGCCGTTTCTCATAAGGGCACCTCCATGTAGCCCGCTCCAGGCTAAGCAGCTGCTTGGATTGAACGGTTCTCCTGGGCAACATCAGGGAGGCCCGCAGTCTAGAATCAACACATGACTGTTTCTGCAAAAGCAACTTACTTCCCTTCCTCGATCACTGTCCAGTATCTCCTCCACTTCCTGAAACCTGAGGATGGTGTGTTTAATCCGATAGAAGAGTGACCGTTCCCAGTATATGGCCCCTGCTACTGGAGGGTGGTTCTTATACAGAGGCGGGTTGTCGAGGTGCTGAACAAAGAGCCTGTCGACTATGTCGATCTGGAGAGCAAGCAAACGTATTCTGTAAGTGACCACCATCACCATGGCAGCCAAGAAAGACTGAACCTGAGATCCGTGTCCTCAATGGAATGAAGAGGGCCTTTAAGACATACTCTAAGATATAAGTGTTTCCACTACTCTCTTATTCTTTACTACTTTCTTATACTGTCTGTAATTTCTCTGTTTGTTTAACATGCAATGCTGCACTCTGCCTTAGAACTACAGACTGTTCATGCTGGGGATGTTTGAATTACTAGAAATCCATTCTAGACATGGCCAGTAGCCACACCCACATTTTAGAAGTATTTTTGTGTTCTCATCCGGTAATTAACTAGGTATAGCAGACAATCAGAAGGAGCCCTGATGTGATGGTTAAGTGCTGGGCTGTTGACCAAAGATCAGTGGTTAGAACTCAGCAGCAGATTCGCAACAGAGAAGACCTGATGACCTACCCCTGCAGAGACTCCAAACCAAACGAGCTCGCTGGCATCAGTCGGTTCCAACTCACAGCAACCCCCTTCGCATTTCTGAGGAGGTGAATCTTTAACAGAGCACACTGCCCAACCTTCCTCCCGAGGAGTGGCTGGTGGGTTTGAACCGCCAAACTTCTGGTGAGCAGTCAGATGCCTTAGGCACTACGCCCCATAAAGCTTACAGCCTAGTAAACGCTATGGGGCAGTCCTACTCCGTGGCAGGGGTTGTTACGAGCCAGAATCCATTTTGCAGCACATAACAACATGACCCCGGCACGTGGTGAACTACAACGATTGCCATTATTACAGCGATTATCCCTCCAGGCAGATCCCGGAAATCCTGTGGGCTCAGTTCCACATGACCACAATACAGTGAGTGTCACAACAAAGCAAGTGACATGAAGTTTCTGGTTCCCCAGTGCATACAGAAATTACATTTACACCACACTGTAGTCCAGTAAATGTGCAACGTCATTAAGGAAAAACTTGGCATAGTGAGAGAACGACCAAAGTGTGACAGGAGACACATAGTGAGTGTGTGCTCCTGGAGAAATGGTGCCAAGAGACTTGCTCAACACAGGGTTGCCTCAAACCTTTAATCTGTGAAAAATGCCATATCTGCAAAGTGCAATAAAGCAAGTGCATGAAGATGAATTATGCCTGTACTACTAAACCCACAGGACCCATCACTATAGGAACCATATAATGTGGTAGTTCACAACTCTTACTGAATTTCTCCACTAAATAAACAAAGCCCATTTTGCTTTGATAGCCTGGATTATGTGACAGGCTTACTGGATTTAGATGGGAAAGACAGATTCGATCGTTCATCGTTTGCCGTATGTGTTTTATTACTACGGTGGCTATCGGTTTTTCTTACCTCTTTGCAATACTGTGCAAGAATATCGTTGAATTTCATCATCATTTGTCGATTAATGGACTCCCGTGAACGAATATGCTTAAATTTTAAAAGCATGTCAAATGCTGCTTCTGCTGATCGAAGTGTCTTAAAAGATTCATCAATAAAACTTTTCGCTTCTTTCTCAATAACCTGCTCCCCCCCGCCCAAAAAATAAACAAACAAACAGTCAAGAAAAGAGGCTTCATGCTGACCCAATTGTTTGCAGAAACAAAGTGGAGAAGACTGCGCAAATACAAAGCAATCCCTTGGGATGGATTCATACTGCACTTTAATGGAAGCTGGTGTCCAATCAAAAATGGTAGACAGGTTGCATTTGTTTTCTGCTCTCTACCCCCAACCAAGTCAAAATAGAGGAAAACTTTTTTTTTTTTTTTAATGAACTAATATATGCAAGGAAAGGTGGGAGAGGAGACAGTTGAGGAACTTTTGGAAGAAGGAGAGTAACTCTGCAACTTTGTGCGAGAATATCATTGCATTTCCAGAGAAAG